AACCGGCATAATGAATAAATAAACCGAGAAACTTCCATTATTTGTTTATCATTCTACTCTAAATCAACTCTCAAAAGGAAAAGAGTAAGTAGGTACCTACCAAGGAAAATAGATGTTTTCAAACTTCAATAGATGATAAGATAGATAGAGACATATAGGTATTACAATGGTCAAAATCCATGCGCAGAAGATTCACATTTGAAATAGGGGCGCCAAAGTCGGATCTCGCTCCATCCTGAAAGTAGGCTCGGGCCGGCACTGGAAACGACACGCTGTCTACGTCATCACTGATATTTTGGCATGGCAGCGGCGGCTTCAGATTGAACTACACAGGCCTTATGAGGATAGACTATCCTATAGTAGTAGTGTGTAGTATCCTTGCAGGAAACTGAGGTCCAAAAGTAACCTCTTTTCCAGGAACCAGTAATTAGTAATTCGATTACTTTTGGAACGCTTTTCTGTAGTTGCCACATTTTTATTTTTCGTTGAGGAATTATGATCAGGAGCATTAACCCTCAGATTTGACTGGATTAACGATTTAACCCATTTCCCAAAATCACAAAAAAAAATACTTGCTTCTTGATGTTACAGATTGGGTACCAAGATCGTGTGTCAAAATCGTGTAATTGTGAAAAATGAAAGCGTGTAAAAACGTGTAATTTTACCAGCATATCGGGCAATTTCACAAATTCAGATTGACAACACTGCCTTGCATATACCTACATAATTTGTAGTCATTTATTGATTTTTTTTTGACAGCCATGCGGAAAAGATTTAGATTTTTCCGCACCGATATCCGTGCGGAAAAAAATTCGCCGCACCGTGCGAGAAAATCGATTTTCCGCACTGTTTAATTGTCCTCACTCTCGTAGAAAAAAAATTTTTTGAAGGCTCAAAGTACTTAAACGTTTTTGAGCGTGGCATCCGGGAAAAAATGGGCTGATTACCCCCCCCCAGACGCATGGGCTGGATACGCCGGTGGTAAGAGTATTCCGTAATCCACACAATCAAAAGCCTTTGGAAAATTACAGAATACCGCTGTTACAGGGTTACTGTTACTATAGAGTTTATTGCACTATACATTTTCCAAGAGAGCATACAATGGCATCATTAGTGCCCTTTGATGATTCAATAGGTTATGTCTACCTAAATGCGTCATCATACGCCGCTTGACAATCTTCTCAACTATTTTAGAAAGAGTAGGCAACAAGGAAATCGGACGATAGTTTGGAAGGGTCATTCCTTCCTCCACCCTTGTGAATTGGAACTATCTGTGAAAACTTCAAACATGCTGGAAAGACACCCTCCTCAAAACTTTTGTTGATATACACAGAAACACACAACAATACATTTTCGGGCAGGTTTGCGAGTATCTTAGCAGAGAGTCCATCCTGACCTGCAGCATACTTGTTCCTGCGCAAGATCTCACAAATGACCTCCCTAATTTCACCAGGATCAGTATAGGAGTCAAAAGACAGTCTCCACTCACATGCACATCCTTCAGATAACAAAGAGGATCCACCGGGCAAACCAAATCACGAGTCAACCCAGCAGCGACAGAGCAATAAAAGTCATTAAACATATCAGCATTCACTTCTGCTTCAACATTGCTAATTGAATAATCCTTCAATTCATTTATAATTTTCCACGTTTCCCTTATTCTACTTTGAGCATTGTTAAGTCTGTCATTATAATACATATTTTTGGTCTGTCTAAGAATCTTCCTGTACAAAGATCTGCATTTCGTAAAATAGGTCAAAAAGTCATTATTAGTGGTACCTATATTTTCTGATAGAATGCAGGGAGCGAAGATTATTAGCAGAAACACGCAGACCATGAGTAAGCCACGGTTTTCTTTTCTTTAACCCTTATTCTTTGGACAGAAAAGGCGTTATTAAACAAATTAGTCAACGTTTCATGAAATGCGTTCAATCTTTCCTCTGTTGTAAACAGAAAATTTCTAACTCTACACAGGTTCACAAACTTGCGGAAATTTGTGGCGCTATAGATTCTACCATATCTGGATTTCCTAGCATTTTTTACTTTACTTTTAAAATTAAATTTGCACACAACTCCCTCATGGTCTGATAAACCAGATGGAGTAACATCAAACTGAACCCGATCTCTATTGAAATTGGAGCACACATAATCAATAAAACTTTCCGAAAACTGTGAGATGCGAGTTGGGACTTCGACATGCATTAAAATATTATAAGATGACAATAAGTTTGTTAACAACAAGGTAACCCCAGATTTATCATTATAATTAATATTAAAATCTAACAACAAGCGATTTTTCAGGAAGTTTACTTAATAGCTCCTGCAATCTTTCAACAAGTTCGTGGATTACTGATAGGAGGCCTGTACAGGGTGTCCAAGATTCGATAGTTTTGGGGGGTTTCGGGTATTTCTGAAGGAGTTGGAAAATATCTGACCCCCACTTGCGAGCCTCGATTTTCGAGAAAAATTGACTGGTGAAAACCGCATCTCGATATGTCGAGTCCTTGTTTGGAGTTTGGCAGGGGGTCTTTAATTTTTGTAGCTTAAAAACGAATTGAGATATCGACATGCGGGTTTCGGTGGTCTACTTCTATTGAAAATCGAGGCTCGCAAGTGGGGATCAGATTTTTTTTCAACTCTTCTAGAAATACCCGAAATCCGCCAAAACCATCGAATCTTGGACACCCTGGACACACACATTAAATACAAATTCCTAACACTACTATATGCCAAGGAAAACTCATACTCATTCTCCAGCAGTAAGTTATTATATTTTGTAACTCTATAGAAAAATTATATTTATAGCCAGCATCCTGATTTATAAGAATAAGTGTGCCTCCATGAGATGAATTCTCCCTATCATATGTCTAAACAGCAGCATAATTTTCAAGATTAAAATTCTCATTCAGCCGTAGCCAGTGCTCCGTCACGAGCATTACATCATGAAACCCAATGCTTTCCAAACAAATAAATAAATCATTAACTTTATTACGAATTGACTGAATATTTATCAAAAGTAAGCTCAAACAATTGTCATTACGTTTGCTACCACTTCCAGCCTGCTCACCTATAAAAAACTGCCATGACCAGACTCTCCCACCAAGTTAATCTCAATATCATCACTCAAGTTATCTAATCCTTGATCTTCCAAAAGATTTGTTAGGGGTAGAGAATCCTGTTCTACTACTACTACTACAGTGTTTCGACGGTCGAAACGCGTCTATGGATGGAATAGCAGAAAAAATGAATCCAAAATTTTCTCATTTTTTCAAATCAGTGTTTTGTATATAAAATTATTTCCAGAAGCAAGGTAAAGTGTGACAAGTGAGTGAACCTTGGTAACCTACGAAATAGTAGAGGGGAAGACGAAAACCTATACTATACGACGCGACGGGTCCCCGACGTGGACATTGCGAAAATTGCGGTTACCCTGACGCGACGACCCGAGTATATGTATATTTAATCTCTCGTCAATCAGGAGCGTTTTGTCCGCATTCCTTCCACACAGGTTCACTCACTTTTCGCACTTTACATTGTATCCTACCCGCCAGATCCCTTAATCTATTAAACTTAGAATATGTAACATTACTGTACAGCATGGAAACAGTACCCCTAGCGATTCTGTTTCACTTGTTTGAAGACCCCTTCCAATTTACTATTAAACTTAAAAATACGTCTGTTTAAATTATCTAATAATAATGAAGCTGCATTTAGAATGAAATCTATTATACAAGGAGAAATTGTGTCTCCTAAACTATTCACTGCTTTGTTAAAAAGCGCCATGAAGAACAACAATTGGGAAAATATCAGAGTAAACATCTATGGAGAGGTTTGCTGACGACATAGTCCTTATTGCAGACAGGGTAGATCATGCATGTCAGCTTCTCCAGGACCTCCAATGTTCTTGTGCACGAGTTGGCTTTAAAATCAATTTTTCCAAAACTCAATTCATGACCTACCTAATACTGGCCAAAAACATTTCAACGTATGGCAAGCAAATAGAACAAATTGATTCCTATAAATATTTAGGCAACGAGACTTAATTAGAAAGAGATAACCAGACCACAGAATTGAACAGGGTGTTTTTTTAATCAATGTGTGCTTCTACTTCTAACATATGAAGCAGAAACATTGACTAACCAGAGAAGTTGTAAACAAAATCCAAGTGGCACAGAGGGCAATGAAGAGATCAATGTTGAATCCATCCCTCAGAGACAAAGTTCCAAATCATATCATCAGGGAAAGAACCGGGATTACGGACGCAGTTGTAAGAATTACAACGTTGGAATGGAACTGGACAGGTCATGTTGCCAGAGTCATAGATGTGAGATGGACTAGAAAAATACTAGAATAGAGATCTTGAATGATGCGTACCGTAACTGAGGACGTCTTCCAATAAGATGGTCGGACGACATTAAGCGCATCCAGCCCAGGGGTTGAGAAACTACTTAACGACAACAATTTGTTCAAATTTGCAATATTAGAAGTTTTCAGGGTACTTGCATGGAAAATTAAATTGATTATTGTAGGAAATCGAAAAAAAATCGTTACTTTTTTTTTATTTCGCCCAAATATGATTATTCCGGAAGTTATTCAAATATTAAGTTTTGTATACATATATAGATATACTGAACATAGGCAGATTTCATAGTGTTGTATCTCCGTCAATTTTTGACTAAGAAGAAAAAGAAAAAAACACGTGTTCACTTATTTTTCATGGACTATCGAAATCAGCAATAAAAAAATTTGATGCAAGTAGCCTATTTTCACATTTAGCATACAATGACTAAATGAATATACAGAATTTTTCTTGACTTATCGGCACCCAGGGCTAGTCCTTTAGGCGGCCAAGAATGGGAGCGATACAAATCTGATATTAGTATTGGCAAATTTCTTTAAAGCTACCCTACTTTAATTTTTAAGATGCATCAATTGAGATTGTATAAAGTACCATTCTATTTTAATTTATAATTTAATTTAATATTACTAATTCTATTTAGCAACCCTGCAAAGGAAAATGTAAAACAGAGGTAATTAAGGCACCTACACTCATTACCTCTCATCACATACCACATTTATTCAAATTTAGTTGTGGCCACCTCTGGCCTCATCCCAAAACTCTTCTCAAAAAACTGCTGTCTTGCATAGCCAGACTTATCAAAATTTTAGATGTTACCTGTAAAGGTAGGCGAGGGGTTAGTTATCTGCTACTTACGAAATTATTGAGGTCCTATGTGCGTGTAGTTCTTCGGAAGTATTTGGAATTTTTCAAAGGACATTTGTAGCAAATAAAAACTATTACCTACCTATTTCTCAAGGAGTACCTACTCGATACTCTCTATCAATCTCACAATTCTACATTTTATTATTTTCGAATATTCGCATACAGCATACACAATTATCACATACTCATTTATGTATTTGAAGTCATAAAAAACGTATTATGAGTTCATATCCTAAAACATAACTATGATTTTCCAGTTTGGCTCGTAGACCAATCTACCCAGGACGTCGCTCCAAACGCTACAGCGCAATCTACCGATACGATCAACGCGAAATGCCTTCGGACGAAGGAAACACCTCAGAATACTCAGTTTCGCCCTCCAGCAAATCTTCGACGCTCGAATCGAATCCTGGCGATCGTTCCCGCACGTCTCCAATCATCCCCCGAGTCCATACCGAAGGTATCAGAACGTCCTCGAAACGACCGAATTCGGATACTTCTGATTCGGACTCGGACGAGAACACAATGGAGACTGTAGTGACTCAGATTCGGTTCTGATTCGCTTTTTGAGAATTTTTTTTAGCGAGCCTTTAGGAGATTTAGTGTGATCGTTAAAAGCATGGATGTGATTTTTTTTTTCGTAGTGTAGCTTATTTTGTTAAGTTTTTTTTTAAAGTTAATTTACGTTTACCTACACGTAGTGCTATAATATGCAATAAGAATATTATGTATGTATTAGCAGAAGACATTCCATTTTGACTGGTTGAAATTTATACCAAATTTGCTATTATTGTATTGTATGAAGATTATTTTTTTATAAATATTTAATTATTAGTGCAATTTTTTTTTGTAAATAATATGCAATATTTGCATGTATTTTTATTGTAGTCTAAATGAGTGTATTCTTAATGCAACTCTGAGAACTGTTTCAGTATTTAATTCAAATTGTTTTTCATGAAACTCTCGTTTAAACTTAAGCAAAAAGAATACACTGAAAACATTGTCATGACACTTTTTTTTTAGTCTAACACTGAAAGTTTGAAATAATAAGACTTGTAACAATTAAATTTGGCCATACTATACTGATGTTTTATAGGCCTGCTGAAATATTTATTTTCCGAATGTTTTATTAACTAGAACTTGAAAAACAAAGGCCTTACTAGTAGAGAATTTGATTGCTTTTTATACGTCAAAGAAACTTGAATGTTACGCCTGAAAGTAGTTAATTTGAGATTGAATATTTTCAATTGTAGCAAACACTTGAAGCAGTAAAGAGTCTCTTTTGATAGAGAAAAACAATAATATATTCTTATAAAAAAAAAATGTATTCTAATACATACAGGAAGATAGGTAAAAAGAAATTATCCTGTCTGTAAAAATTGTTCTTGTCAATTCATTGTTTAGAAATTTTTTATCTTGTTCGTCCTATTGTTTTTATTTGTGATTTCTATCATTCCGTCTATACGAAAAGTTTTAAGTTTTATTTTATTAATTTATTGCCGCATATTGGTTATTATATTGTACTTATTATTGACATTCCATTGTATCGTTTTTATAATATATATGAAACCTGATTTGTTGTTCTTAGACATAATCTTTTTTCTGCTGTAAGAATAAATTGTGGCAAATATACTTAGTTAAAATAAATTTTTTATTTTATTTTATCTGACATATTCTAGAAGGATTTTGGTATATAGCACCTACTCAAAATGCCCAATGGTCGCTTTTCCCTAGTGCAAATGTTACAACTTGTGGTCGTATAGTTGGCGAAAACGGACGTTTCAGAAACGGTGTGATGTCTAACGTCCAATAGACGTTTGATGACTCCATCACCGTGTCATCTAGATCAAGTATCCCCAAAACTGTACTACAGTTGTTTCTCTCACTTGCAAATAGACACGCTCCCACAATTTTATTTTAAAGTAGCTGCCCAAGGAAATAATTACCATCAAATACAACTGCTCGCAATTTACCATCTAACGCAAATAATAGACTTGGCGCGGACGCTACATTATTATTAATAATAAAATAATGAATTTACTGGTTCACAAAACATGGCAAATTCTTGTATAGACATATTTTTTGATTTTTATTTAGAACAGGTGTGCGAAATTAAAACTGAAAAATCCACAGGTTGCTGATAGAATGGTAATCGATGAAAGATTTCAAAAAAATTGAAAGATATCGAAACTGAAAAGGATATTTTTTCACCTTACCTTGCTCTACTTCCAAACTCCACTCAGCTGGCCAGCTCATTCAGGAAGTTCAGGTCCCATACCTAGGAGTGCAACGATACCGTCTTAATTTAACCGGTCGCGGCAAACGAAAAACCGCGGGTCTATTTTCTCGAACTACACGAAGCAGGCGGAGTGTTTTTGGCAACTGGTACTGCTTGTCGGCAGGAAGTGTCAGTACTTGCGGCTACCCTTTTCAGTATTTAACGCGCGCATTTTTAAATGCTAAATTTAGCAAAGCCGTATCATTCTGAGGCATAGAGCCCGCGGAATTCAATTAGAATGGGAGAAAACAAAAAATAAAGAAAAACTAATCAATTTCCATTCCCAAATAGGATTTAACATCCTAAATACCCAATTTAACCTACAACTATACAGGGTGTCCCATGGTGGATAGCGTATTAGACGTTTATGGAGAACTAAAAAGCGGATCATTTTTAAAATTTGGCAAACGGGAAAAACGACTATAATCCACACTTTAAAAATATTTTTGTCTATGCGGTGTTGCCGTTTCTACTCTAAACCAGTGGCAACAACGCTATTTTAAATGGAACACCCTGTATGTCATTGCATATTTGGATTCTACATAAAATTCTGAGCAGATTTCATGTGATATACCCTATACCTAACTACAACTGTTTTGGAAATATTGAAAGTTGAAAATTTACTTTTTGCAACTTTGACAGGCTGTAAAACCTAAACGGTTAATTTTAGAGGAAAACCGATTTTATATTTCTATCTTAGATTTTCATAAACTATCATTTGACACCAACTTTGAATTTAACCGCAGATTAAATTTAATTGGAATTTTTAATCATGGATTAAATTCAAAGTTAAAAATAGTTTATAAAAATCTAAGACAGGAATGTTAAATCGGTTTTCCTCTAAAATTAACGTACAGGTTTTACAGCTTGTCAAAGTTGCAAAAAGTCAATTTTCAACTGTCAATATTTCCAAAACAGTTGAACTTAGGTATAGGGTATATCACATGAAATCTGCTCAGAATTTTATGTAGAATCCAAATATGCAATGACATACAGGGCGTTCCATTTAAAATAGCGTTGTTGCCACTGGTTTAGAGTAGAAACGGCAACACCGCATAGACAAAAATATTTTTAAAGTGTAGATTACAGTCGTTTTTCCCGTTTGCCAAATTTTAAAAATGATCCGCTTTTTAGTTTTCCATTAACGTCTAATACGCCATCCACCGTGGGACACCCTGTATACAGGGCGTGTAGACGAAACTGAACAACAGCTATCTGCTAGAACATCGAGACTGATTTTTCTGATCATAAGTCACAACTTATTCAATTTAGTATAATAAATCAAAAATCAAGTTTTATACAGGAAAACAGGCCAGTTAAACTTAAAAACCGAGGCATGGTACTGGGTGTTTGTTTATAACTGGAACACTCAGTAACTTTCTTATTATTGAAAATTATTAGATCAAACGAACTTACCAGTGAAGTTCGATCCTAATTTTAGGAGACCTCCAGTCCGAAGATATCAATACTATTTTACCACGTAGTAGACATTTGTCGCCTGTATTACCCACTAAGTTTAAAGAAGCCGGTCCTGTCCACTCCTGCTCTTCGCTGCCGTTGGCCATCTCCATCCGCCATCGCGTCATTTTGTTTAAATTATAATCTTTGCAACACCTCTGGGGAAACTGAAAAATATTGGGATGGGAGGGAATTGATATCTTCGGACTGGAGGTCTCCTAAAATTAGGATCGAACTTCACTGGTAAGTTCGTTTGATCTAATAATTTTAGTTCGACCTCCAGTCCTTCGATATCAATACTATTTTACCACGTAGATGTTCAAAGACAAGTTGCAAAGATAAGGAAAATATATTGTATTATAAGTAAGGCATATATATCAAAAGTAACTCAAACATATTCTAAACCAAATACCACATGAAACATGAAAACTACAAGCTAAGTACAGATTTTGCAAAAGCAAATGAATCTATAACAGGACGATTATAAAATCTTGCAAACGTAGAGGAATCTTCTGACCAGCCTGCAGTCTGGCGAATGAGATCCAAAGAAATTCCTTTTCTTCTCGCGGCTGACGTAGACGCATGTCTAGTAGAATGGGCGCGAAACTCTTCTGTATTAACGCCGGCACGCGCCAATAATTCTTTGACCCATTTGCTAATTGTTTGTTTCGATGCACACTTGTAAGGTGGTCGACTAACTAAAAACAAATTTTGTTGGTCTGGTTTCCTTATTTTTGCCGTAGCTTCTAGGTAAAATTTTAAAACTGATCCAACACATAAAGATGGATCTTCTGTAAAAAAAGGTACATGTAAACAAGGTTGAAGCTTGCCAGGGCCTGAAGTCTTAATTTTATCTGAGATAAAAATTTGATAGCCTCCTACTGAATTGGTTATATTTTCAATTTTTATGAGGGATATGGTCTGTACTCGCTGACCAGTAACTAAGACTAAAAACGAAGCAAGCTTGATGGACAAATCTCTTAAAGTTAATCCATTATTTGGAAACATGTTCTTGAGGTGGGCTATGACTGGCCGAGTATCCCATATATGATTGTATCTGGGAGCAGTAGGCCTAATGTTACTTACCCCCTTCAAGAATCTCTTAACCCGAAAATCATTAGCTATATCTGTTGACAAAATTAAGGATAGCGCAGATCTGTGTGCATTAAAGGTGCCGTATTGTATAGTCTGGCTGTCCAACAGATTTTGAAGAAACTGTAGAACTTCACTTACCCCGGATTTGTAAACAGAAAGATTATGTTTTTGGCAAAAACCCCACCAAAGTTTATAGGTGGAATTGTACTGTTTAAGCGTTCCAGCTGATAATGATTGAAGTACGGTTCGTAATGTATTTTCTGGGTAATTTTTCAGCAGTAATGCATTCCAGATAATTTTGCTGCAACCAGGGTAAGGTTCTTCGCCATCTTGTGTTGTGAGCTAAAAGGTGAAGTAAGCAAATTAGGATCAGGCTTAAATAACAGGTAATCGCCTATCTTAATCTTCATGAAAAGAGGAAACCATGACTGGGACGGCCACCAAGGAACTACTACGATGCCTTGCGCTTTTTCATCGATAATTTTTTGAATAACTCTCAAAATTACACTAAAAGGAGGAAATATATAAAAATAAAAGGTACTCCAATTAATGGTAAAAGCATCAACCGCAACTGCATTTGGGTCTGGTAAGTAGGATACATATTTCTCACACTTGGCGTTAATGTTTGACGCAAAAAGGTCTATTTCAAAGGTACCCACTCCTTCACTATGCGTTGAAAAGCATAGTTAGCCAACGCCCATTCAGTTTCTGTTGGTAACATTCTTGATGCTTTGTCAGCTTTCCAGTTATCTTGAGAGGTAATATATGATGCAAATAAAAATGTATTTTTTAACTCGCACCACTGCCATATTTCTCGGGCTAAATTGTCTAAATTTCTATGTTGAACACTGCCCATTCTATTTATGTATGATAGGGCAGTAGTATTATCAGTGCGTATTAATACATTACAGTTGGTAAGCTCCTTTGCAAAACATCTTAACCCGAAAAATATAGCTTTCAATTCTAAATAGTTAATATGGTTGTTTTGGTCTGTTTCAGACCACCAACCATACGTAGAGAGTTCCTTGGTGCATGCACCCCAGCCGGTTAAGCAAGCATCAGTAAATATTTCTATCTTAAAAGTGTCCTGTCTTATGTCATTGGAAGAAATGAGAATGTGAGTGTCCCACCATAACAAATCAGATTTGATATCAGATGATAGGATCATTATAGCCTCATAACTCATATTATTTTCACGAAGGTATTTAATTTTCTCTCTTTCAAATGACTTGGTATATAACCAACCATACTTGACCGCTGGGCAAGCCGAAATAAACAGACCTATGAATTGAGCCCAGTGTCTAATTTTGCATGAATGAGAATTTTTAAAATGACCTATTGATTCTTTTATTTTTACGCGCTTCTCTGTCGTTAGACCTAAGGTCATATTTTCTGAGTTGAAAATAAAACCTAAAAATTTCTGTTGTTTAGAAGGACTTAATGAACTTTTTTCCCTGTTTATAATGAAACCTAAATTCTGCAAACAATTTAGTACAGTGACTGTATTAAGAAGACACTGTTGTTCAGAATCAGCCAATATTATCAAATCATCCAGGTAACTAACGCAGCAAATACCTTCAGTCCTTAACTTGGTTATAACCGGTTTAAGGAGTTTAGTAAATATATATGGAGCGCATGACAATCCAAACGGTAAAACGTTAAATTCGTACAGATTTTCCTGGAAATAAAATCTTAAATATATTCTATGAGATTTTGCTACTGAAATCATAAAATATGCGTCCTTTAAATCAATTGTTGACATATATACATTAGGACGAATAAGACGAGAAACTGTTCGATAGTCCTCCATTTTAAAATGAGGTACCTCGACATATCTGTTTAATCTTTTAAGGTTAAGTATAAATCTTTTACTACCGTTAGGTTTATCTACAAGAAATATGCTTGAGACGAATTGTACAGATTCGTTCTTACATCTCGATACAGCGCCCGTACATAAAAGATCCTTGATGCACTCTAATATTTCCTTAGTATCCCTATGAGACAGTATTTTTGCATAGGAAAAACTTTCTGAAGCTGGAGGTATGAATTGAAAGGGTATTTCAAAACCTTTTACCCATGATAAAATAATATTATTTGAAGTAATTTGTTTCCAACTGTCAACAAAGTACTGTAACCTTCCAGCTGGTATTTTACTTACCGGAATTACTTGTTTTTCCTGGAATAGAACTTCTCGTGTCTCGAGGATTGTTGGCCCTTGTAAGGTTTCGTCCCCCTCCCTGGACGACCTGGGCGATATCGGTTTTCCGGAATTGATCTCCTCCCTCCTCTTCTTTCGCCACTAGTATAATTTTTATTAGTGCTGGTTGAGGTACTCGGTACTCTAGTGAAGGCAGGTGTTGCCAGCAAGTCCTTACTTGTCTTTTCCAGCATTCGGGCAGATTTAATTTTTTCCCCGAAATCCAAACCAAACAAGGAGGTGTCAGGAACAGATTTTTCTATAATATCTTTCACCTGTCTGTTTACAGTTTGAGAAATCAAGGTACGTCTAGTTTGCGATAGGCTAAAAAATAAATTGGTTAAAATTTTACCCGAATCCCAAAGAGGAGTCATCAAATTTTCCTTTAATTCCTTAGGAAAATTATTGCCCTCTTCAAGAATTATTTTAAGGCCCTGTCCAAGAGCTGAAAGACCACGAGAAATCTGATTTTGAATTGCCGAGTAACCAGAATCTCTCTTTTTATGAAGCGCTGACATAATTGCCAAGATTTCAGCGTTAACCTCAGGTGGCACTAACAAGGGTAAATTCTCTGGTATTTTGTGACGGTCATTTAAAACCCGTTTGTCCTCGTCCGATAAGCCATTAGACAATATATGATCCCATCGCGAGGGTATGGCCTTATGAAGTTGGAAAGTTGACTTTCCACATTCCTTTGGATCGCTTCCTAAAATGGCCAAAAAATCGTCGCCTAACTCAACGTCATTATTTATTATTAGTGACGGAGAATGGCCTCCTTCTGCTGTAATATTGTCTGAACTGTTTGGTCGTACAAGGTTTTCAACATGCAAGTTGAATCCCTCATTGTTGGTTGCGTCTGCATTCGTCGATACGTACGAGTATCGCTCTGCAGAAAAACTTCGGCGCCGACGGGCTGAATGCGTCCCTGTGCTCTCGACAGTCTCGACGGATCGACTAGAGAATCGACTTCTATCGCAGGAACAGCTGGAAAGCTCTCCCCGCTCCACCCGTGAGCGCTGTCGATGGCGCGACGGGGAAGAATCGACCTTTCGCGTCTGTGTGGGAGAGCGAGTTAGCCTGCGTCGGTCACCTGATTCCAGTCGGCGAGAGCGAGAACGCACGCTCGACTCCGAACGCCGATGGCGCTTACTAGAGTATGTACGGGAACGTGACCTTCGTCTTTCTTGGGATCGTTCCAACTTATGAATTCTTCTTAGTAATTCTTTTTTCGATAGCTCGTCATCACTACTTGATGACCGGTCTCTTTTCTTATGTTTTTTCATGGCTGGAAAGTAAATATTACAATCAAATTTACTTACGTGTGACAGCCAAAGCTTGAAAAAACCAGAACGCTCTGCACGATACAAGCACTAAATGTCGAATGACGCGATGGCGGATGGAGATGGCCAACGGCAGCGAAGAGCAGGAGTGGACAGGACCGGCTTCTTTAAACTTAGTGGGTAATACAGGCGACAAATGTCTACTACGTGGTAAAATAGTATTGATATCGAAGGACTGGAGGTCGAACTAAAATAAAGGCCATGTTTAACTTGGAAAATTTCTTGGTAAATTGCAACCTTGAGCGATACAATGACATTTTTTGTCGTCATAGGTATACAGGGTGTGCCAAAAAGGTATTTTTATAAAATGGAACGCCTTGTATATTTTTGTTTTTCAAATAGTTTTTGCTATATTTGTGAAGCTAATTTTTTGAGGATTTCAAAAATGCAAAAATATACAGGGCGATTCATTTAAAAAAATTACTTTTTTGGCGCATCCTGTATACCTATGGCGACAAAAAAATATCGTTGCGGCGATTGAGATCGTTGCAATTTACCAAGAAACTGTCCAATTTGAACATGACCTTTATTTTCAATAATAAAAAAGTTACTGAGTGTTCCAGTTATAAACAAACACTCTGTACAATTTATAGTTTCATAGAAGCCTCATCTTATGAATTTATTGCCGATCCTAACTCCAACGTAAATCAGAAATTTTCTCAATTTATCCAAATCATGTAATCCCCTTATATTTCCCATAAAACAAATTAGTTTAGGTACCTACCTACGTTTATATCGGCCAGGTAACACCTCCTGGTTTAATGATGATTTAAAGGAAACGAGGGAACATCTAAAGTTTCTGGGAGATATAAGTAGCCAGTGAGTCCCGGAAAAAAGGTCGAAAATATAAGGTCGAAATACAAAAAGTCGAAAACAAAAGGTCGAAAATACAAAAGGTCAAAATACAGAAGGTCGAAAATACAAAAGATCGAATGAGGAAAGATCGAATAACAAAAGGTCGAATAACAAAAGGTCGAATAACAAAAAGTCGAATAACAAAAGGTCGAATAACAAAAGGTCGAATAACAAAAGGTCGAAAATACAAAAGGTCGAAAATACAAAAAATCGAAAATACAAAATGTCGAAAATACAAAAAGTCGAAATACAAAATGTCGAAAATACAAAAGATCGAAACACAAAAGTACGAATTTTAAAAGGTAGAAATTAAAAAAAGTCGGAAATACAAGTTGTCAAGATTATAAAAAGTCGAAAATACAATTTTTTTCTCTTTCTACTTTCTTTTCCACATACTAACGCCTTGACTAACGCTGACTAACCAAAACTAAACCAAACTAACCAAAACTCTGTACCTCGCTCTGTACACTTTTGTAATTAACCCAATCTTCGTTTCTGACCCATGCACTCCCATTTACTTCCCGATCCCGTAAACTATAGTGAAACGTCAGGGAGACACTTCCAAAAATTAACATATTTTTGATAAAAATTAGTTGATATATCGCTTATAGAAATGTTTTTGTTTCAATTTTGACGTTTTTTGGCCTTACTAAAATAAAAATAAAAACTCCGACCTACAAATTCGAAGGACAAAATTACGGGTCCGAGCAAGATAAATTGGAATTTGGATATACAAGACTAGTAAAATGAGAAGGGCTGCTAAATAAAGTGAACTAACACAAACTAACCCAAACTAACCCAATCTAACCCAAACTAACCTATAAACTTACCTCCCCAACGCTATAATAGGGCAATCCAACGACCTGTCAAAATGAAATTCAAAATGGAGGCCAATGCCTTTTTATTTAAAAAAAAAGCCATTTATTCAACTGGAAATTACCGTTCTAGAACGGTTCTCATGTCGGTTGGAACAGACCTACAGTTTCTAACATGATAATTATTTAAACTTGAATACCTACTTAAAAGAGTAAATTTTGTTTACTTAACCACAATTAAGAATTTGTTGCACTGCGACCCCTACACGTCCTTATTAAAAGTTGGAACAAAACTGCCAAAATTAAAAAATAGTAAAAAAGTCAAAGTTGGGAGCTATCTGGCCGAATAGGGATTGCGTATATCGTATCTCTGTTCGAGCAGATTTCAACTGACGACCCAGACTCTGCGCTACAGTACAGGCTTCCTAGCGTCTATTGTGGTGTTGGTTTGGTTTTCTTAGCAACTGCTGACCAGAAAGATCAAGCTTGGGCTTATACCCGACAGATTCGCTCAAGTGCCCTTAGATCCTTTTCAGCCCGAAGGGACGTGCTGGCTTGGGATGATAACAATATGGTAATACTGGTTATTTTACTCTAAATGTAATCTCTACCCTAACATTAAATATATTATATTTATCTAGCGTTATTCTGGTGTTCCCTTTCCCTCCCCGTTCTGATTTTCAGGGTGAATAGTCGAGCTACGTAGCGGAGCAACAGAGGCTTCGTGACAATATCATTTGGAAGACTGTTAAATTCCTCACAGCCCTTACACGTTTACGACACGACTAAAACTGTTGGTGTTGGTGATATTCCTTGAAACATGCTTCGACGCACAAAGCAGGGCCGCCCCTACCATAAGGCGAATGGAGCGGGCGTGAGGCCTTCGAGGGGCGCCTCCGACTCGTTCCTTGGTGATAAAGAACAGAGAAAAATATACTTATTCTTGCTTTGAATCCTGTCTCCGCTTTTCGATATTCTGCTATTCTTCTACTTGCGAGCAAGCGTGCGGTTAGTATGTGATAAGATAGATAGAGACCTAAGGTCTGTTCTCACATAAATCACAAACCAGTCAAAGCGTTTTTGATTGGTGCAAATCGCCAACAGACAGTTTTCTGTTTATTTTCAACCAATCAAATTCGCTCTGACTGGTTTGTGATTTCTGTGAGGACAGACCTATTATTAGATATGGTCAAAATCCATGCTCAAGCCTATACTTCATTCATACATATAAGAAACTCATGGAAGATTTGATGACCTTATCATATTTAACATAGGTACTGAAAGCGACGTCCCCGACGAAATTTCATCCGTTGGTTACTATCATTTAGTGTCACTAGAAATCTAAAAATTTTGTTTCAGTACAATTCCTTAATGGAAAAAAAAAAATTAACAAATATACTGACGTAGGTATACAAGACAAAATCAAATACGCTTCTGAACAAAACTGCCACAGATTATTTTTCCTATTGCCTATATTTCTCCAGTATATACAGTTCGCATTTGAAATAGGGGCGCCAAAGTCGGATCTCGCTCCATCCTACAAGTAACCTCGGGCCGGCACTGGCATAAAGCAACCTTCTTTTCGCATACAGGGCATTGATTGGTAACGGGTCTTTCCACTTCTACAAACAAGTGCAAATGAAGTTTTAATATGAAAAAGATGATTTTGACCAAACATCTGTAGTGACTACAGAAATTTTAATCAAGAATAACAAGGACTTACCAAACAACCATCCCAGGAGAGACTATCACTCAGACAGCACAACCAGAAACTTCAATTAAAATTTATCTGAACATCGATATCCAAAAATTATTGAAAGCCGATACACTTCCTCTCAAGAATGACCAGCCAATAGGAATTAAACAAAATAATTGACTAATACATTAGAATGTGAATAAAGCAAAAGTTCATGGACCTTTTTAACCCGGGAGTACACGCGTGTCGGTCAAAAGGACCGACCATTGATAAAATCAGTAATTACGCCACTGGTACAAGGGTGGCAGTCAGCGCCGGCCTTAGGGGGGTGCAGAGGTGCTAACTGCACCCGGCGGCAAAATTTAAGAGGCGGTAAATTGAGAAAATTAATCATAGAAAAAAATCGAACGGTATTCAGAATAATATTTATCACAAATGTTATTAATTATTTATCAGCCCGGTAATGTAATTAGCAGCATCGCCAACATTGCACCGGCAACCCTGCTTCGCTTCCATTTTCATCAAAATACCAGAATATCAGATAGGTATTGTTACGAAAAAGTATCGACATCAGTGGCGGTCCATACATGATTTTCTGGGGGGGGGGGGGGGGTAATGGATGACGGGAAAATTATCAAGTGTCGCAACGTACCGCCGGAGGCGAAATTTTATTTAGGGGCCACGCCCAAATTTGCACCCGAAAGTCGTTTAAAAAACACGCTTCGGGCAAAAATGTATCCCGATGCCGTCAAAAAAGTAATACCGGGTGTCCACCTAGTGCGATATCGGACGATATCTTCTTATAGTCCGGGGGCCGAGGCCCTTTTCTCCAAATCATTAATAACAAGCTAGTTTTGTCAATGAGGCTTCATTTCACCGAGACGCCCAACTTTTTTCTCACGAAAATTGCGAAAACAGGTAGCTAACATACTGCGCAGGTGTGAAACATGTCGATTTGGTGACTATGAAAATTTGATTAATAACAGTTAGTTTTTTTAGCTAAATGTTGAGATAATTTTATGAATAATTTGAAACAACATTTGTCCGACAAAATAAAGGGTTTGGTCTACGATGTCCCCCCCCCTCGAACATGTAGCAATTACGTTGCTTAAAAAATGATTAATAACAAGTTGATTTTTTCAATGTAGGTTGGTAAATATTATTACAATTAAATGGTCACACTGTCTTACAAATAAACAGGTAGCTATTTTCAGTCCTACACTCAAAAGTTGTCGATTTCACGATTTAACTTTTTTCATTAATAACCGGCTAAATCTTCGTGAGCATTTTCATTTTGATAAGACGCGGAAATTTTCTTTTGCGAAAATTCCAAAGACAGGTAGCTAACAGAGTGCGCAGGTTAAAAACATGTCTATTTGGTGATCATACAAATGCAAATAATAACGGTTAATTTTGTAGCTAAATGTTGAGATAGTTTCATAAATAATATTAAATAACATTTGTCCGACAAAATAAATGGTTTGATCTAGGCTGTCCCCCTTCTCAAACATGTAGCAGATACGTTACATAAAAAATGCTTTATAACCAGTTGATTTTTTCAATGTAGCTTAGTAAAT